TTTTACTTTCTTCATTTTTTTGCCTTCTTCGTGTTAATTTTTTTACCTTTTTCATATTAATTTTCTGACTATTATTGTTTCTATTAATTGTACCACCATTTTGTGACAATTTCTATATTAATTCTCTCACCATTTTCTTATTAATTTTCTGACTATTACTTTTTCTCAATAATTGTACCCCATTATTGAAACCCTCTGTATATCCTTAAAATTACGTTTCATTGTTCCGGTTCGAATTCCACTCAACCTAAACACAAACCAAAAACAATTCCATTTAACACGTGATATAATCTTCAAGATTTCATACAGATATCGATCAAGGTATTTTTTGACCATGACTAATCGTCATCGATAAATCGATCATCGGAGAATCTCGACTCGGGACATGCTTTTTATTCGTCGATAAACAAACACCTTGACCAGCGATCAAACACAGCATTCATCATTAATATTATTTCATAGAAATCATATTCGGGCATGTTTTAAACAAAAACGAATAACATTCATCGGAAGATTTATCTTCTCTTTTTACTCTTTATTGTATTATGTTCGCGACTGTGCGAGTAAATTTTTTCTTTCCACTTTGCGAAGTAATTTATTCAAATTTAATACTTAGTTTTCTTTTCATTCGTGTGTCGTAATTGCGTTTAGAGTCTGTGTAGTTTATGCTGGTGTGCGATATTTGCGCTAATTTTTCAAAATATTATTTGTGAAATTAGAGAGAAGATAATTTTACTGGTTTTTGAAAAAATAAAATTTATAGAAAATAATTTTGATGTAGAAAAATATGATATAATTTATGAGTTTATTAATTTATTAAAATTAATAGTAATTCATAATTAATAATATTAACTAATAATAATAATAATTCATAATAAATAATAATAATAATAATAATTAATAATTAATAATATTAATTAATAATGATAATAATAATTCATAGTTAATAATATTAATTATTAATAATAATAACAATAATAATTAATTATTAGTTTCAGTACATTGATTACATAATAATTATTAAATTTTATAACAAACACAGAAAATAATTTCCTTCCTTAATTTAATAATTTAATAATCAAGTTTCATTCACAATAACAAATTTTTATAAAATTAACAATTTTTCAAAATTACAATTACATAGAAATATATTTTCAAAATTGTAAATATATAAAATTTTGTTAACGTTTATTTTACATACAAGTTTCTTTTATTTTTTCCTCTTCTTTTATTGCAACCTTGGAAAAACAACATCAGTCATTAAATATTTGACTAACGACTCCATTCGACTGTCGAAAATTATTTCCTCAAAATTCAACTAAAAAAGAACGATCTTAAGTTTCGAAATTATTCTCGCTGGAAAAAACGAGAAACGTCAAGGGATATGCTGTAAAATGTTTAAAATTTATCCAAGAGTAGCCTCGTGATACCATTACTATAAATAAAGCACTCATATCATAAACTTCAAGCATAAGATATACGTTCTCTTAGAAAAGCTAATTCCACGTGGATTCGAACACGAATACTTGATTGAGTTACATACGTACGTCGTATAAAAAACTCCGTAGAATTTCATGTTTAATGTTCTCGATAAAAAAGACGTGCTACACAAAAATTAACAATTTGTACGTTTTTAATCTGCTGCTTTTTGAATTTCTATAAAATAATCAGAATCTATTTTTAAAGTTAAATTTTTTCGTGCAAAATATTTTTTTTAAACTATTTTTTGTTTATTACATTTACAGAGATTAAGATATTAAGAGGTTAAGAGATTATGTTGATAATTACTTATTTTTTTAATTACATATAGAATTTGCAATTTTTTTTATTATTTCATTCGATTATTTGTATGATTTTTTTTTCGAATTTATGAAATTGTTAAGTTTCTTGAAAATTAATATTCTAATAGAAAGTAATTGTATTACCAAGTTATTAGTCTAATTAATATTCCATGAATGTGGTTTATCACATATGAACTACAAAGTGCGTCATGAATGCGTCACGAGTGCGTCACAAAAAGTTAAACACATTTCATTGATTATCCAGAATTCTTAATTGTGAAGAATATAATTACAAGCGAAGTCAAAATTCAATTGTGATAAAAATACTAATCTGGTTTATCATGTATGATCTTCATTGTGCGTCACAAGTGCGTCACAAAAAGTTAAACATGTTTTGTTGTCCACAACACTTGATTGTGAAGATTATAATCACAAGTGATCTCAAAATTCAATTAAATTCGATTAAAATACCAATCTAATTTATCGTGTATGAACTTCATTATGCGTCACAAGTGCGTCATAGAAAGTTAAACACGTTTTGTTGATTACAATTCTTGATTGTGAAGATTACAATTACAAGTGATCTCAAAATTCAATTAAATTCGATTAAAATACCAATCTAGTTTATCATGTATGTACTTCATTGTGCGTCACAAGTGCGTCATAGAAAGTTAAACACGTTTTATTGTCCACAATTCTTGATTGTGAAGATTATAATTAGAAATGATTCCAAACTTGCTATGAAAATACAAATCTGGGTTATCACATATGAACTGTAGAGTGCGTCATGTGTGCGTCACGAGTACTTAAAAAAAAATTTAAACACATTTTATGCTCCACAATACTTAATTGTGAGGACTCATAATTAGAAGTGAATTCAAAGTTCAGTTGCGATGAAAATACGAATCTAGTGTATCACATATGAACTGTAGAGTGCGTCACGAGTGCGTCACAAAAAATTAAACCTATTTTATTGTCCACAATTCTTAATTGTGAAAGTCATAAGTTAGAAGTCAACTCAAAATTTAGTTGCGATTAAAATAGGAATCTAGTGTATCACATATGAACTGTAGAGTGCGTCACGACTGCGTCACAAGTACTTAAAAAAAAATTTAAACACAATACTTAATTGTGAAGACTCGTAATTAGAAGTGAATCCAAAATTCAATTGCGATTAAAGTAGAAATCTAGTGTATCACATATGAACTGTAAAGTGCGTCACGAGTGCGTCGCAAAAAATTAAACACGTTATATTGTCCATAATACTTGCTTGTGAAGATCATAATTACAAGTGAATCCAGAAGTGAACGAAAAAGTTCACCAAAAGTGAACGAAAATACAAATCTAGTTTATCACATATGAATTTTACTGTGCGTCACCAGTGCGTCACTATAGTAACACACGAGTGTGTATCGTAGAGTGAATAATTAATACATGCAGATCTGCGGTTAAAAAAATATCGTGAAATATTTGAGTTATCTTGTAGGAAATGCACGGGTAAAAACTGCGACGGTAAACCAGGAATAATGTGATTGTTAGAGCGCACTAAAACTGCATTATATAAGAATTACATGCGGAGGGAACGTAACGGGTACACATTCGCGGTGGACATTAAGTATCGTTGTTCGTGTGAATCGGCTCGTTCGAAGTCTTAGTAAGACGTCGTAATGGAAAATTAGAGCCGAATTGTGGCTTCTTTTGTCGTCAATTCTCTCTCTGACTCTATGAACTTTAAATATCAAAAGTTAGGGGTCGAGTGTGTACAGTGTGTTAGGTTAGGTTAGTCTGTTCACAGTTTTGTAACACTTTTAGTGACAAGTGTGTTTTATAATACGTTTGGTAGATTAGGGATTTAGGAATTTAAGGATTTAGAGATTTGGGTATTTGGAGACTTAGGGATTTTAGGGGTTTGGGAGGATTTGGGGATTTTTAGGGATTTAGAGATTTGGGGATTTGGGGATTTTAGGATTTGGAGATTTTGGTATTTGGGGATTTGGGGATTTGGGGATTTGGGGATTTGGGGATTTTGGTATTTGGGGATTTTAGGATTTGGGGATTTGGGGATTTGGGATTATGGTATTTGGGGATTTTCGTATTTGGGGATTTTAGGATTTGGGGATTTGGGGATTTGGGTATTTTAGGATTTGGGGATTTTGGTATTTGGGGATTTTAGGATTTGGAGATTTGGGATTTGGGGATTTTCGTATTTGGGGATTTTGGTATTTGGGGATTGTGGTATTTGGGGATTTTGGTATTTGGGGATTTGGGGATTTTGATATTTGGGGATTTTGGCATTTGGGGATTTTGGTATTTGGGGATTTAGAAATTTAGGAATTTAGAGATTTAGGGATTTGGTGATTTGGGCATTTTGGAAATTCGGAGTTTGTTAATTTAGGAATCTAGGAAGTTTCAAATTCAGAAATTTTTGAACTTGGGAAATTAGGGATTTAGAGATTTAGGAATTTAGGGATCTAGGAATTTAGGAGTTTAAAAATTTGCGAGTTTAAGCACCTAGAGATCTAGAAACTTACGTATTTTGGAATTCTTTAATTTAGGCATTTAGTGATTTAGGAATTAAAGAATTTAGGGATTTAATCATTTAGAGATCCAGACCTTTAACAATTTGGGAATTTAAGAATTTAGGGATGTAATAACTTAGAAAACTTTGAATTTAAAAATCAAATTTAGGGATTCAGAAATTAATTGATCCACTTTCCACACCTCCAAACACTTAATTTCTTTAACTTCTGGATTCCCAAATTAAACACCAAGTTTCAATAATTTACAACCATATAAACCTTAAAATTTCAAACTTCACAACAATACAAATACCCAACCATAAATTTCCCAGATCATCCTCCAAAACCATCATCTCACCATCCACAACACCATCACCTACCCTCCATCATCTCACACCCCAAATCACTTCCCCGGATCGAAGTCCAGCAAATCCTTCCTCATCCAGCCATCGTAAGCCCATCTTGAACCCATTAATCAACCGAGCAACCTCAACACGGGTCGCTCGTTAATCCTAAAAAAGAAGCGAGTGAACTCATCGTCGGAATTAATGGGTCACCACTAGGAAGACCCTTACATTCGCCGCTTTAGCGGATTCCTCAGTGACGAAGCCCTCAGCTCATTACGTTCTCGCCGAGTCCGCTTCATTAGTCCCCGGCATTCAATCTTTTTTCCTCTTCTGACTCGTTTGTTTGCTTGAAGGCCACAGGAGGAGGCGGGTAGCCGGAGGTTAGCGGAGGAAGTCGAGCTTCCGAGGCAGCAGCCGCAAGAAGACCGGAAGGCAGATTATGACAGGATCCCCGACCCGAAACATCCTCTCGAAGACTTAAAACCCGAGGAGGACAGCCTGATCAGCAAGGAGCACTCGTTGGAGTACCAGAGCCAGACGCTAGAGAGCCAGACCGAGCTTCTGCTGCAGCCCGTGCAGCTGTCGGGCTCTTTGGAGGAGCGGGGCGTTCCTGACAGGTGGCCAGGTCCTCTCGAGGAGGAGCGCAGTTTCAAGGAGACGCAGTATTCACCCAAGGAGAAGCTCGACGCGGAAACCCAGACGCAACAGGAGACCAAGAGCACCCAGTGCAGTCCGGAGCAGAGCATCGGCAGCCCTGATCTCCCGAAGGGCAGCCCCCTCAGGGTCAGAGGCTTCTACCAGAGCCCCCGAAGGGAGGTCCACACCCAGACCCAGGGCGAGAGTAAGAGCGTGCAGTGCTGTCTCGACGAGTTAGGCGGACTCTCCAGGACTCCGGACCTAGACGACTCCTTCGACAGCCCGTCCAAGTCGGAGAAGGAGTCCAAGAGCATACAGTGCATACCCAAGGACTTCTCCGACGAGGACAGAAGTCCGCGCAAGGAGGTCGAGGTTCAGACCTACCAGGAGTCCAAAGCTGTACAGTGCAGCGATGACGAGCTGCTAGAAGCCGAACAGCTACCTAGGAGATCGAAGACCGACAGCTCGGCTTCCTCCAGTTGTGGATCACCCTGTAAGTTGAACGCTGTGGTGTTCGTGGAGGAACCGGTCGACATGACGGTCACGCAGAGGGATCACGACGGCAACGTCAGCTGGTCGAAGCATTGGGGTCCTGAGAGGCTCGTGGAGATCTTCAGGGAGCCGAAAACCAGCCTTGGACTTAGCATCGTCGGCGGAAAGGTGCGTGGTTAAAAATAAGAGAGTGTGGGCGGACACGTCTTGGGATCGCTTAGGGAAAGTTTCTGGGTTAAGTAAGCGAGATGGGATTTTTTGGGACGGAGGAGGGTTTATGAGGGGGGGAGTTTTTTGGGGGTGATATTGTGATTGGGTAATTGGGGAGGTCATGGGAGTTTTAGGGAAGTTTGCAAATTGGTTCGGAAATGAATATTCATTTTGGGAAATTATGGAGATGGTTTTTATGAATGGAGGTTTTAATAGGAGAGATGAGTGATGGGTTTGAACAATTTGTACTTTTAATTTTTGGAAGTTTCAAACTTTTAGTGGATGAGTTATTAGACTTTGCAATATGAAATTTTTTTTAATTCTGCAGTTCTGAAATTTGGTGTTTTTCATTCTGAGATTTTGTAACTTTCAAATTTTCAGTTCTGCAAATGTGAAATATAAAAATATTTAATTTTGAAGTATTAAAATTTCCTAATTCTGAAATTTTCTGGACATAGAAATTTTCGAGTCTTTAATAACAAAATTCAGAAAATTATCAATTTTCCAACATAGCATAAATAAACTAACAATATTTCAAATTTTACAACCAACATATTTCCACTGAATTTTCAAGCAAATTAAAAAGTAGTACATCTATAAATAATAATCCATATATTTCTTGTATTAATAATAATAATTTGCAAAGAGAATGATTAAAGTCGGTTACATTACACACTTAGATCGACGTCTCGAAGGCATCCCTGCGTTAATGCACTTGCACCACGTTAGTGCAACGTATAGTACTTAGTTGAAATTAACAAGCAATGCCATCGACGTGGTGCCATTAGTAGCTCGGTACACGACATCGTTAACCGAGCAATTAATGAAAGCAGAAGGACTGTGTTTGATCTCGTACCAGCAGTCAATTGAGTGCATCGTTAAAACCATCGAGGAAAAAAATAAAGAGCATGTACTAATTTAGTATGGCTGCTAGATAATTTATTAAGGAATTTAATAATTTTGGTGTTTGACAATTTTGACATTTTCTAAATTTTGTAATGTTGACATTTGGAAATTTTTGAAGGTGGAAAATCTGATAATTTAGATTTTTGGAAATTTGAGAAGTTGGGAATTTGGTGATTTGGGGATGTCGAAATTTGGAAGCTTGAGAAGTTGGAAATTTGAGAAGATGGAAGCTTGAGAAGTTGGTAATTTGAGAAGTTGGAAATTTGAGAAGATGGAAACTTGAGAAGTTGGG